TCGATATATTATGATACTCAAATACTCAGGGTATAATATTTTCTTCATATAAAATAACTTTAAATAATAAAGAGTGTAAATATTTATTATATAGATTAATATTTTATTGTCAAAAATGTAAATTTGTTAAATTTAAATTAAATAAATTATTTTAAAAACAATATTATTATTATTATTTTATTTATTGTTTTATTTTATTTATTTTATTTAAAATAATAACAAATTTTATATTTTTTTATTATTTTTTATATTTTTTTTATATTTCTTTCATTTTATATTTTTTTATTTTAATCCCTATTCATTAATAATTAATAACAAATAACACCTACCAGATAAAATTATATATTTCAATAATTTTATAGATAGTACAATATTTTTTAGCTAAAGCTAAATGGTAATAAACATTAATACAAAAACAACCTTTAGTATTTGATATAAATTCCATCGGATTTAAAATCAATGGTTTTCAATACATATATTTTAGGATCAATAGAAAATTAATTTTTTTTTTAATAATATTACAAACCAATATTCCCACAATATTAGTAATAATGAAAATAATAATAATAGCCTACAATCAAATAAAATATCAAAAATCTATAAACAATAACTACACTAAAAAAGTTTTATAAATTGTTTTTTTTCTTTAAAATCATCCATATTATTAAAAACAATTATATTTTTTTTAAAAAAAAAACAATAAAATAAAAACACACTAATAATTTATCCGATGATTTAACGATAATCTATAATTGTGTGTTTTGTTTATATAAATTTATTATAAATATTTGTTCTATTCACATCCATATTAAAAAATAATAAATTCATTATTTATCGTTCAATAATATTAAATGCATGCTATTATTCATCACATACCACTCCTAATTATATACATATATCACCTACTAGTTGTTTCATTACATTCATGTAAAAATAATATAAACAAAAATAAACCCACAAAAACACACTCACACACACATTTTTTAACATGTAATATAAGACGATAACACCTTCAATGTCTTTATGTCTTTTTATTAACATCTTAAAAGTGTGTTTTTATAATAGGTGGGGTTAATTTTATAAAATTTGTATAAATGTGTAATAAAAATTTATTAATTAAATACACATTAAGATTATATTTCTTTTATTCTTTTGGTTTTATATGTAAACATTAATCAACACCCCCCACACTTCTTTTTTTTTTTTTTTTTTTTTAATAATTAAGTTTTTTTTTTTATTATATTTAATTGTATTGTTTTATTTAAATTTAAACTTTAATTTATATTAAAATAATTACCACTTTACTAATTATATAAACAATAATTTTTTTTTTTATTCATTTATAGAAATTTCAAATTAAATAAAGAAATAACAAATAAAAACAACACATTTAATAAAAATATACACAAACAATAACACAGATAATAATAAAAGTTTACCAATAAAATTATAATAATAATAATAAAACAACAATATAATAAATAAAATATTTATTTAATTTAAATTAATTTTTTTAAATATAATAATAATAAATTTTAATAAAAAATTTAATAGTTTTTAAATATACACACAATAAATATATATTATATAAAATAAATAAAAAATGGAAATAATTAATGATACAAATCAATTAAGTAAAGAATTTACAAATAATAATAATAGTGATGATGTCCCTAAATCATCACCGATCCCAATTAAAAGGAACACACTAGAACAAACCCTATCATCCTCACCAAACTCAACATCAGCATCATCCTCACCAAATTCCACATTTTCATCCTCACCAAATGGTTCCCAGTGGACACCTGATATTTTTAAAATAATTTCTTCCCTCACCAATTGGTTAAAGGGTATAGAAGAGAATAAAGTTTCAGAAGAAGAATATAAATTAAAAGAAATTGAACTTTGGAACGATTGGGAATGGATTCTTTCGACAACAGAGGAATTTTTGATAAAGCAAAATAAAACTGATAATTCAAAGATTTTAAATGAATTGGATACATTAAAAAAAGCAGCATCAAATTTAAAGGTTAAACCATTTTTCACAGAAAGAGCAGTTAAAGAATTAAAAAAAGACAAATTCACTAAAGAAGAATTATCACTCTTAAAAAGTTCACCATTAGATCCAAACAAAAGATTAGGTGTTATTACTACAGTTATCAATACATTTGAAGAACAATGGTTAGAATTTATAAAGCAAACCTTTTTTAGTGACGAAATAGAAAGCAATAATAATAGTTTAGATAGTATAGATAATAATATTAATAATATAAATAACGATTCAAATAATAGCGGTGAAAAATGTTTTAATAAATTTGAAAATGATATAATGGTCGAAAGTGAAAAGAAAAAAGATGAATCAGTAGATGAAGGTTGGGAAGATAATTTAAATAATAGCACCAGTGGTACAAATAAAAATATCAATATAGAAGAAACTAAAGAAGTTAGAAAATGGGACTCATTCACTTCTGATATGGTCGTTTTCAAAAAGAATATAAATAAAATAACCTGGGATCAATTTTTAGAAAATTTTAAAGGTTCAAAATATAGTAAAGGTGTTCATGGAAGAATGGTAAATATTAAAATAAAATATTAAAAATATATCTAAAATTATTACTAATAATTATTTTTTTTTATAATTGGTTTATTTAGAAAGATTTAGGTTGGCAAGCATCACACGGTGTCGATGGATCATTGAATTCAAGAGTAATGGGTGATATTACTTGGAGTATTTGGAATACTCTTCAGTCAGCAGTAAAGCAAATTAGAGATTTAACACTCGAAGAACCCAATGATCTTATTGATAAAGTATGTTTAGTACAACCCCCTTTTAGGAAGAATCTGGTGTGATACCTTAAAGAACTCTAGAATAGGTGTTAAGAATGAAGGAATTGTAGTTGAAAAATGGAAGCAAGAGGAAACAAAGAAAAAGAAAAAGATTATGGAGATGAAAAAATCTGGTCTTTTAGATAAATATAATCCTGAAAAAGTAAAAATTTTAGATCACGAAAGAAAAGAAATCTCACAAATTAGATCCAATTTAGAAAAGAAATTAAAATTAAGAAAATAATCAAACACATATTTATATATATATACATCGAAATTAATAATATTTTTTATTAGTTCCTTCTCCTATATAACCCACCCACAAATTATTATTATTTGTCGATTTTTTTTTAACAAATAATCATACAATTATCTTTAATTTGTTTTTTCTCACCATCCCTATCTTTTAAAATCAATAATAATAATTTATAATAATAATATTTATAATGTTTTATAAATAGATAAAATTTTATAAAAAATATATATACA